TGCCGATTATCAGTGTGTTATAGAGGAAGGACTTCTGGTTCTAATGACCTAGAGAGAGAAAGAGAGAGAGAGAGAGAGAGAAGAGAGAGAGGAGAGAAGAGAAGAGAGAGAGGGGAAAGAAAGGGGAAGAGAAAGAGGAAGAGAGAGAGAAAGAGAGAGAGAGAGAGAGAGAGAGAGAGAGAGAGAGAGAGAGAGAGAGAGAGAGAGAGAGAGAGAGAGAGAGAGAGAGAGAGAGAAAGAGGGGGGGATTAGGGGTTATGGGGTGACAACATCTTTGCCCCTTACTTTCAAAATATTTTTATTCTTTCACGAAGGGTTTGGCGATGATTTGTATTTTCCGCTAGACTGGAAAAAAACACGCCCAAAGTGAGCTTTTTCTATGAGCGCTGACTCTCTCTCTCTCTCTTTCTCCCTCTCTTTCTCTCTCTCTCTCCCCTCTCTCGTCCTGTCTCTTTCTCCTGTGTGCGTGAGTGCGTGCATGCGTGCGTGAGTGCGTGCATGCGCGCGTGTTTGTGTGCGTACAATATATGTTTATCGATAATTTGTTTCACTTATATTATATGAATGTACGAATAAGAAAATATGAATGTACGAATAAGAAAACAACTCTTAATGAAATTGAAATATACCTATTTCGGGAATTGAAATATACCTATTTCGGGTCGGACTGCCAAGCGCGCGCGAGTGTGCGTGCGTGTGTGTGTGTGGGTGGGTGCATGCGTGTGTGTGGGTTTCTCGTCGCTGGCAAACGGCTGGGGCTGCTCCTCAAACGGCTGGGGCTGCTCCTCTCCAGACATGATACTGCGAAAGAGAAGGGGAAAAATGGACCTGACCAAACTGTTACGGTTACCAGGTCAGAGGGCTTGGAAACGTTATTTAAAATTAATACCTACAGAATGACACTGACGCAGTCGGTTTAAACATGAGGGACGGAATGGGGATGTCACTCCACACCAAAACTATTTTTGCCCGTGCTGTAGCCTGTCCGATGAAAAGACACGCTTTTCTTATGGATGACTTGAGACAGACGGCACCGATTGTTAATGTTATCGAGCTACCGTTCCCGGTCTTGTATCAGTTTGTCCCATTTACATATCAATATCCGTAAGAAAATAATTCCGCAATACTCATATCGAGCAATATTCTGGCCTCTCTAAGAAAAGTGCCCTTCCACACCAATCTGTAACGTTGAAAAAAGTTTTGCTCGAAAAGACAAAACGGGGTTGTCAATCGTTTAGAGGGCACTCTTCGGGAGAAGTGGTCCCGGCCTAATTCCGTAGAAATAACACTTGCAATCGGAAACAAAAACGGAAGCCGATTAAAAAAGCTGGCTTGAGTTTCCAGGGTGAAAAGGCCATTGATGAAAAAAAAAATAATGTGGGAAATATTCTAAACTCGAAGTAAGGAAAAAAAATTACCGAAGACAGCTTTTTTACTCGACTTCTGTTTTTGTTTCTGACTACAAGTCTTAGTGTTATTTCTATGGTGTTAAGCCGGGACCACTTCCCTCGAAGAGTGCCGTTTAGAGAATCTAGGTTAAAGTAAAGTGGATCGAAAGTTATTCGACAAAAAATCTAGGCTTATGCTTTAGTGTCGGACGAGCTGCGAAGAATTTCCCAAACTGAAATGACGGTTCGAGGTCTCCACTTTTTAATTCAAGAATCGCTCGCGTTTCTTACTCATGGAATACTGACTTCAAAGTAGTAAAGACATAAATTTACAAATTACAGTTTTATTGATCCCACAAGGGTATTACTGTTGAGTCTAAACTCACTTGATTCTAGATCTAGATCTAGATCTAGGCCTACTCACTTAGTCACCCGAGCCCCCAACTTTTAATTAGTTAAAACCGTTCGGCTCACCGTGTGACATTTCCAATCAAACACTAAACAACCCTAGATCTAGCATTAAGCATTGCCATTATAGTCATTTGTTAGAGAATGCCATTCTAAGTCGGTAATGATAATAATAGTAATAGGAAGCTTACTTGGTTGACTAAGCGTTCGGCTCACCGTGTGATATACAATCAAACTCTTTTCTAAACAACCCTAGATCTAGCTCTACAAAGTGCCCAGCTGAGATAGATGTAACATTGCCATTAGATCTAGAATCTAGTCATTAATTAGTGAATGCCAATACTCGGTAATAGAGGAAGCTTAAATTTGTTTTACTAAATTAGTATTAGTATTAGGGTAAGGCTCACTGTGTGCTATTCCCCTCAAACTTCAAACAAACTTAGACTTAGCTCTACAAAGGCCAGTACACTGCATGCAGTTCCAGTGGACATTAATTAGTTATAATAAGTTAGGGACCAAGAAGAACTAAGAAGGAGAGGCAAGCCTAGGCCTAGGTCTAGATTCTAGGTCTAGATCTGGTCTCTCTCTCTCGGGAGACTCTCTGAGTCTTGTTTGGTTCTACACGATACAACGTAACAACATCTAGAGTCTAGATCTAGATCTATACTAGCCTACACTGCCCAGCTTTCAGCTACAATAAACCACCACAGCCATCTGATCATTACCTTAGGTTCTGAATTCAGATCAACAAGGCACAGACAACACGTTCGCAACTGTATGCAGTTTCGCTTTCGAATCAGAGACAACGCGGCTTCCGCTTGGCAAATGTTTATGTTTTTTCTATTTCTGAGCACAAACGAGGGGTGGTGTGCAATCTACCAAAGAAAACCGATGGAAGTCGTGACTGACCGCAAAAGACCAAGCGAGTTAAATTATGAGAGAGAGAGAGAGAGAGAGAGAGAGAGAGAGAGAGAGAGAGAGAGAGAGAAAGAGAGAGAGAAAGAGGGTGGGTTGGAGGGGAAAGAGGGGGGGATTAGGGGTTATGGGGTGACAACATCTTTGCCCCTTACTTTCAAAATATTTTTATTCTTTCACGAAGGGTTTGGCGATGATTTGTATTTTCCGCTAGACTGGAAAAAAACACGCCCAAAGTGAGCTTTTTCTATGAGCGCAGACCTACGGGACACACCGGGAATTGCTGCTGACTCTCTCTCTCTCTCTTTCTCCCTCTCTTTCTCTCTCTCTCTCTCTCCCCTCTCTCGTCCTGTCTCTTTCTCCTGAGTGTGTGCGTGAGTGCGTGCATGCGCGCGTGTTTGTGTGCGTACAATATATGTATATGGCTGTCGCATTGGTCTTTTATCGATAATTTGTTTCACTTATATTATATGAATGTACGAATAAGAAAACAACTCAAACCCGACTTTCGACTGGAAATGTTTTAATGAAATTGAAATATACCTATTTCGGGTCGGACTGCCAAGCGCGCGCGAGTGTGCGTGCGTGTGTGTGTGTGGGTGGGTGCGTGCGTGTGTGTGGGTTTGAGGATGCGTGAGAACTCACCGTCTCCTCGTCGCTGGCAAACGGCTGGGGCTGCTCCTCTCCAGACATGATACTGCGTCCGCGAAGATTCCGAGATCGGGGGAAAGAGAAGGGGAAAAATGGACCTGACCAAAACTGTTACGGTTACCAGGTCAGAGGGCTTGGAAACGTTATTTAAAATTAATACCAACAGAATGACACTGACGCAGTCGGTTTAAACATGAGGGACGGAATGGGGATGTCACTCCACACCAAAACTATTTTTGCCCGTGCTGTAGCCTGTCCGATGAAAAGACACGCTTTTCTTATGGATGACTTGAGACAGACGGCACCGATTGTTAATGTTATCGAGCTACCGTTCCCGGTCTTGTATCAGTTTGTCCCATTTACATATCAATATCCGTAAGAAAATAATTCCGCAATACTCATATCGAGCAATATTCTGGCCTCTCTAAGAAAAGTGCCCTTCCACACCAATCTGTAACGTTGAAAAAAGTTTTGCTCGAAAAGACAAAACGGGGTTGTCAATCGTTTAGAGGGCACTCTTCGGGAGAAGTGGTCCCGGCCTAATTCCGTAGAAATAACACTTGCAATCGGAAACAAAAACGGAAGCCGATTAAAAAAGCTGGCTTGAGTTTCCAGGGTGAAAAGGCCATTGATGAAAAAAAAAATAATGTGGGAAATATTCTAAACTCGAAGTAAGGAAAAAAAATTACCGAAGACAGCTTTTTTACTCGACTTCTGTTTTTGTTTCTGACTACAAGTCTTAGTGTTATTTCTATGGTGTTAAGCCGGGACCACTTCCCTCGAAGAGTGCCGTTTAGAGAATCTAGGTTAAAGTAAAGTGGATCGAAAGTTATTCGACAAAAAATCTAGGCTTATGCTTTAGTGTCGGACATGCTGCGAAAAATTTCCCAAACTGAAATGACGGTTCGAGGTCTCCACTTTTTAATTCAAGAATCGCTCGCGTTTCTTACTCATGGAATACTGACTTCAAAGTAGTAAAGACATAAATTTACAAATTACAGTTTTATTGATCCCACAAGGGTATTACTGTTGAGTCTAAACTCACTAGATTCTAGATCTAGATCTAGATCTAGATCTAGATCTAGGCCTACTCACTTAGTCACCCGAGCCCCCAACTTTTAATTAGTTAAAACCGTTCGGCTCACCGTGTGACATTTCCAATCAAACACTAAACAACCCTAGATCTAGCATTAAGCATTGCCATTATAGTCATTTGTTAGAGAATGCCATTCTAAGTCGGTAATGATAATAATAGTAATAGGAAGCTTACTTGGTTGACTAAGCGTTCGGCTCACCGTGTGATACAATCAAACTCTTTTCTAAACAACCCTAGATTTAGCTCTACAAAGTGCCCAGCTGAGATAGATGTAACATTGCCATTAGATCTAGAATCTAGTCATTAATTAGTGAATGCCAATACTCGGTAATAGAGGAAGCTTAAATTTGTTTTACTAAATTAGTATTAGTATTAGGGTAAGGCTCACTGTGTGCTATTCCCCTCAAACTTCAAACAAACTTAGACTTAGCTCTACAAAGGCCAGTACACTGCATGCAGTTCCAGTGGACATTAATTAGTTATAATAAGTTAGGGACCAAGAAGAACTAAGAAGGAGAGGCAAGCCTAGGCCTAGGTCTAGATTCTAGGTCTAGATCTGGTCTCTCTCTCTCGGGAGACTCTCTGAGTCTTGTTTGGTTCTACACGATACAACGTAACAACATCTAGAGTCTAGATCTAGATCTATACTAGCCTACACTGCCCAGCTTTAAGCTACAATAAACCACCACAGACATCTGATCATTACCTTAGGTTCTGAATTCAGATCAACAAGGCACAGACAACACGTTCGCACTGTATGCAGTTTCGCTTTCGAATCAGAGACAACGCGGCTTCCGCTTGGCAAATGTTTATGTTTTTTCTATTTCTGAGCACAAACGAGGGGTGGTGTGCAATCTACCAAAGAAAACCGATGGAAGTCGTGACTGACCGCAAAAGACCAAGCGAGTTAAATTATGAGAGAGAGAGAGAGAGAGAGAGAGAGAGAGAGAGAGAGATGGAGAGAGAGGGAGAGAGAGAGAGGGAGAGAGAGAGAGAGAGAGAGAGAGAGAGAGAGAGAGAGAGAGAGAGAGAGAAGAGAGATACAGAGAGAGAAAGAAAGAGTGAGAGAGAAAAAAGGGGAGAGGAAAAGGAGAGAGAGAGAGAGAGAGAGAGAGAGGGAGGGGGAGAGAGTGAGGGGGTGGGGATTAAGGAGGTATGAAAAGACAACGACTTAATATGCCTCTCACTTTCAAACGATGTTGGTGACTGAAACAAATTACGCACAAAGTGCGCCTTTTTCTATGAGCGCAGAACTCCGGGACACACCGAAGATTTAGATCTAGACTAAGAACTAAGAAGGAGGGGCAAGCCTAGGCTTAGTCCGAGGTCTAGATCCAGATCTAGATGTAGTCTCTCTCCTTCAGGAGACTCTGTAAGTCTTGTTTGGTTCTACGCCATACAATATCTAGAGAGACAGAGAAAGGGATAGACAGACAAAGATATAGAGTTGGGGGGGGGGGGGGTATGGGGAGACTTAATGTGCATCTCACTTTCAAACGATGTTGGCGACTGAAACAAAATACGCACACAGTGCGCCTTTATCTATGAGCGCAGACCTCCGGGACACACCGGGAAGCGCCGATTTTTACACCTCGTCTTTTTCTATGTTCTTTTTCGTGCACCAACATGTTTGTCTGTTTGTAGATCTACTCTCTTCTTCTTCTTCTTCTTCTTCTTCTTCTTCTTCTTCTTCTTCTTCTTCTTCACCACGACCCTCACTTTTTCTCATCTCTCATTTGTAAAAAGCTTGTCCACGTGGCTACTAGTATCGATTACTCAATGTACATTACTACTCTAACTTTTTTAGCTCCCCCTTAAAATTTTGAGAGTTTAGAATTCAAAGTCCCCCATTTAGGATAAGAAACATGAGTTTTAGAGGACAGAGCCCCGTGCAGTGGTGTAAGATTTTTGTATTGTGAGATATGACATACGATTCTGAAATAGTTGGGTTTCGATATTTGACGATTTCGATACTATACAATTAAACGTCATTTTTAACAAAATTTATTTCTTTAAGATGCATGCTGACTTTCAGTATGTTATAGAGGAAGGTCTACTGGTTGTAACGACACCAAAATCATCTTTGTTGCAATTATTTTACCCCCATAGTGAAATGCACAGGTACATATGGATTATTCGCCTAGATCTAGATTTAGATCTAGCACTACTAGCTAGTGAATACCATTACTCGGTAATAGGAAGCTTACTTGTTGTACTAAATTAGTATTAGTATTAGGGTTAGGCTCAAAATGTGCTGTTCCAATCAAATACTAAAAAACCCTAGATCTAGATCTACAAAGGCCAGTCCTATCCCTGTACACTGCATGCAGTGTCCAGCTAACACAGCGGTTCTAGTTAGTCATTAGTAAGTTATAAAAAATTAGGGAATGCCTTTCTAGATCTAGATCTAGACTAAGAACTAGAAGGAGAGGCAAGTCTAGGCCTAGGCCTAAGTCTAAATATCTAGATCCAGATCTAGTCTCTCTCCTTTAGGAGACTCGGTGAGTCTTGTTAGGTTCTATACGATACAATATCTAGATCTAGAGCTATATTAAACTGACCAGAATTCACCTATGATAAAATGTCACAGCTATCTAATCATTACCTTATGTTCTGAATGAAGATCAAGGGCCAGATCTACAACACGTTCCCCAGAAAAATCCAGTTTCGATTTAGCAAAAAAAACGAGAGTGGGAGAGCGAGAGAGAGAGAGAGAGAGAGAGAGAGAGAGAGAGAGAGAGAGAGAGAGAGGGAGAGAGAGAGAGAGAGAAAGAGAGAGAGAGAGAAAGAGAGAGAGAGAGACAGAGAGAGCGAGAGAGAAGGAGAGAGGGGGGGGCAGAAGAGAGAGAGAGAGAGAGAAAGAGAGGCGGAAGAAGAGAAAGAGAGGATGAGAGCAAAATTGAGAGAGAAAGAGAGTGAGAGAGAAGAGAGAGAGAGAGAAAGAGTGAGAGAGAAGAAATGTGAGATGGAAATTGAGAGAGAGGGAGAGAGAGAGGGAGAGAGAGAGAGAGAGAGAGAGAGAGAGAGAGAGAGAGAGAGAGAGAGAGCCCTTTGTCTTTTATCTAGAATTTGTCACACCAGTGTACCTATAAGTCTCCAGTCCGACTATCATAAGGAAATATTCTATTCCCTGGTTTCACCAAAAGAAGCTGATTTCTTTTTCTATGTCGAGGGAGACTGAAAACTGTGTGTGTGTGTGTGTGTGTGTGTGTGTGTGTGTGTTTATGTGAGAAGAGAGAGAGAATAAGAATAAGAGAGAGAGAGAGAGAGAGAGAGAGAGAGATATTGAGAGAGAGAGAGAAAACAGCTGTGGCCCAACTCTCGTCCGGAAATGTTATGCCCCCATCTTTTTCAAAACTTTTTGTTTCATCCTACCGTGGCTTGCAAAAGACAGAGTTCGATTCCTGTGTGGGTAGGGGTATTTTTTGTTTATCGAGTAGGGGGCCTACGACCGCCTGTCAGCTGGAACGCCGTCACAGGCAAAACAGCACATTATGTAATTCGTGTCCAAGTGTCCATCATCTGTTTTTACACAACAGGTGCACCGTAACCGCCCAGGCCCGGCTAATTATCCAAACTGATTGTAGTGATTTAACAGACAGGGAAGACTGATTGGAAAACATAAAAAAACAAGACAGACAGGAAAGACTGAATTGAAAACATAGAGGATAGGACAGACAGGGAAGACTGATTTTTAAAACATAGAGTACATGACAAACGGGAGGACTGATTTGAAAACAAAGAGAACAAACACATTTTGCTACCGATTTGAACTTTTATTTCCATACTGCCGGTTTTCTCATAGTTTACAACACATTGCCAAAGCAGTGCGGCGGCCGCCGGGATGTACATTTCACATGTTCTATGCTCTGCGTAGTACCGTGTTGGCCGCTCGGTTCCAACCAGAAAGTGGGCCGTTGCCCGAACCATCGTTTTCCCGGCCACCCTTCTGGTTTGAACAGAGCGTTACACCCTTGCGCCACGGTGAGGCCCGGTACTTCCGACTTCCGCAAGGGGGGGGAATGGGGAGGGGAAGTCTGTGAGCTGTGGAAGACAAAACAAATAAGCGATAACAAAAACGTTCCCTACAATTTGGTCCCGTACCCGATACCTGCTGACGCCGTTAAAGAACTTGCTATTTTCCCATAACCGGTGACGTGGGCCAGTTCCAGTTCCCCGCGGACACCTGTCACCCCACATAATTTTATCACCCCCTGCACTTCCCCCAACCCCCACCCCCCCAACAGCCGAAACTGACATCTTACGTAATGAGGGGTCAGGGGTCAGTTCCCCACTAACCCCTAACCCCTCAGAAAGAGTTCCCCAAACTGGTTGAAAGATGGAAACAGCTCATGCCCCCAAAAAGCTGTTACCTATTACACTTGCATCAAAACGGATTCTTTAAAATACAGTGATTACTCAAAAGTGCAGCTTAGCGAAAAAATGATCTACACCCCCCTCCCCCTCGCTTCTCTTCAAACTTCATCAACTTTTTTACTTCACACCTTACCCCCAACCCCCTCACACTCACAAAGGTACTGCTGCCTCAGTCTCAAGCTAGGAACAGACCACGCATGAGACACACGGACAAACTGGACTGGCCACAGATACGGAAGCAGGAAGCTGAAGGGACTATTAAATCCTACGGAGACTGGCCCGCTCTTTAACGTCAAAAGCATCAACTGAGGCGTCTTATCAAGCTAAATAAGAACAAAGACACAAACTACACACACATGCATCAACTAGTCTCATTTCCCATATTGGAATACTTTGTCGTTCCCTTAGAAGCCAGGCTCAGGGCCACGTCGAGGAAACTCTTCGGGAAGAGAGAAAAAACAATGCACAGAGGGGAAAAAAAAAAGGAAATTTAGAAAAATGTCTTCTGAAATAAAACTTATTATTGTAAAAAATGATAATTTTACAGACATGCCAAAGCATTAAAAAATTTATTCATTCATTCCTTAAACTAAAAATTATAAAAAGTAGGTTATAAAAATAACAACAACAGCAACAATAATAATCATCATCATAATCATCATATATTTTACAGACATGTCAAAGAAAAAAAAAAAAAATTATATAAATAATATATTTTTAAAAGAATTTAAAAACAATTTTTAAAAACTAAGAATTTTACTGAGATGTCAAACTCGCCTCCTAAAAAGATTTTTTTACACATAAATAAAAAAAAAAAAAATACTAGTAATGATAATAATAATAATATCAATTTTACACACATATAAACTCAATCAACTAAAACAAACAGACTTCACCACCCCACTCCCCCACCTACCTGCTCCGTTGTTTCTCCTGTCGGTAAAGAGTTCTATAATTAACTCTCAAACAACCCGCTGTCATCTTCCACCTCGTCGTCCGTATCCACCAACAACACTCTGTAAATTTGGTCCAAGTCTACCTCGTCCTCAGCCCGCTCCCCAAAATCACTATCGTCGCTAGAAAAAAATTTCTCATCCTCCTCAAAATCCCCACTATCCTCCTCAAAATCCCCACTATCCTCCTCAAAATCCCCACTATCCTCCTCCCCGTCCCCGGAATCCCCCTCAAAACTCACCATCTCCTCGTCACTAGAAATAGGCTCTGGCTCCTCTATGATTATGGGCAAGATATGCCTGGCTCCGTCTGGTGCCCGCGAAGACTCCGAGTTCTGGGGAAAGAGAAAGGGAAAAACGGACCTGACCCAAATTGTTCCGGTTACGAAGTCAGAGGGCTCGGAAACACTATTTAGAAATACCCACAGAGCGAGAATGACACAATGACACGGTTGTTTTAAAAATGAGCCACCCAGCGAAAGTGTCGGTCCGCACCAAAAATATTTTTGAACATGCTACAGCTAGTCCGACAAAGGGACGGCTTTTTTAAAGATGACTTTTAACTGACGACACCGATTTCTAGCGAGCTACCGCATTTGGTCTTTTATCAATTTGTCCCATTTACATCAGTATACCGTGTAAAAAAAAAGATCGGGCAAAATTCTCACCAGGAAATGTTATATCACCATATTTCTCAAAAGTTGCTTTAATGTTTAGTGGTTGTGTGGGTGTGTGGGTGTGGTTGTGTGTGTGTGTCTGGGTTGGTGTGTGTGTGTGTGTGTGTGTGTGTGTGTGTGTGTGTGTGTGTGTGTGTG